TTCAGATTTGAGCCATTGTCGGTGATAATCCTTCTTGGCACACCATACCGACATATGAGGTTGTTCTTGATGAAGCGCACTACCAAATGTTTAGTGACATTAGCATATGAAGTTGCCTCCACCCATTTGGTAAAATAATCAATTGCCACTAAGATAAAATGATTCCCATTTGACGCCTTTGGTTCAATCATCCCGATCATGTCAATACCCCACATAGAGAAAGGCCATGGGTAAGAAATAAAATCAAGAAGTATCAGAGGTACATGAATTTTATCAACATAAATCTGGCATTTATGGAACTTCTTTGCAAATTTGTAACAGTCAGACTCCATTGTCAATCAATAGTAACCTGCCTTAAGCATCTTTTCTCCATTGAATGTCCATTGGCATGGGTACCAAATGAACCTTCATGAACCTCATGCATCAACATGTCTTATTCATGTCTATCCATGCATCTGAGCAGGACCATGTCATGATTTCTTTTATACAGTACATCTTCATTGAGGAAAAATTTGCCCGTCAACCTTCTCAATGTCTTTCTATCCTTATTTGATGAAACAATTGGGTATTCTTGGGTTCAGAGAAAATGCTTGATATTAGAATACCAAGGTTTTTCATTTACCACATCCTCTGTTGTAAACACATGAGCCGGTCTATCCAAACGTCATACCATAATACGAGGAACGTCATTCAATGTATTCACTTGATACATAGAAGCTAGAGTTGCCAAAGCATCCGCCATCTGATTTTCTTCTCTTGGAATATGATGGAATTCAACTTTGTTGAAGAAGGGTAACAGTCTTCTAGCATAATTTCTGTAAGGGATCAAGCCAGGGTAACAAGTATCCCATTCTCCTTTAATCTGATTAACAACCAAAGTTGAATCACCATATATATCTAGAACTTTGATTCTAAGATCAATGGCCTCCTCGAGACCCATAAGGCAAGCCTCATACTCCTCCATATTATTAGTACAATCAAATGTTAGCCTTGCAGTAAAAGGAATGTGTGATCCATGCAGAGTGACGATCACTTCACCAATTCCTTTTCCATAAGAATTCACTGGTCCATCAAATACCATGCCCCAACGAGATTCAAGATCTAGACCTTCCCCAGGAAACGATTCATCATAATCTTTTGCTTTCAAGAACATCACATCCTCATCAGGGAAATCAAACTAACATATTGATAGTTATCTACCAGTTGGTAAGCAAGATAATCCGTCAGCACACTGCTTTTTATGGCCTTTTGAGTGTGGTATTCAATGTTGTATTTGGACAATAACATTTTCCAGCGAGCAATTCTCCCCGTGAGAGAAGGATTTTCAAATATATACTTAATTGGATCCATTTTGGAAATCAACCAAGTAGTACTATTAAATATATATTGTCGCAACGACTTTGCTCCCTAGGCCAGAGTGTAACATATCTTCTCCAACATAGAATACTGTGACTCACAATCAGTAAATTTCTTACTAAGGTAGTATATGGCATATTCTTTCTTTCCTGTTTCATCTTGTTATCCCAAAATACAACCCATAGAACTATCCAACACTGTTATATACATGATCAACGAACTTCCTTCAATGGGAGGGAGCAAGATAGGAGGTTCAAGCAGATATTCTTTGATACTTTCAAATTCCCTTTGGCAATCATCTGTCCACACACAACCTTTATCTTTTTTAGCAACTTAAAGATCAGTTCACATGTTGCGGTCATGTGGGAGATGAATCTGGAAATATAATTCAAGCGCCCAAGGAAGCCTCTAACTTGCTTCTTCGTCCTTGGCGCAGAAACTTCTTGGATCGCTTTGATCTTATCTGGGTCAACTTCAATCCCTTTCTGGCTGACAGTAAAACCCAACAACATCCCTGATCGGACACCGAAGGTGCATTTATTTGGATTCAAGTGGAGATGATACTTCCTCAAACGCTAAAATAACTTCAACAAATCTTCCACATGCCCTTCTTCGGTCTGTGATTTGGCAATCATATCATCAACATATACCTCAATTTCCTTATGCATCATATCATGGAATAGGGTTGTCATAGCCCTCTGGTAAGTTGCACCAATGTTTTTCAACCCGAAGGGCATCACTCTGTAACAGAATGTTCCCTAAGGTGTGATAAATGTTGTTTTTTACATGTCCTCAAGAGCCATTCTAATTTGATTATATCCGAAAAATCCGTCCATGAAAAAGAAAACTTTAAATTTTGTTGTGCTATCAACCAACATATCAATATGTGGCAATGGAAAATATCTTTTGGACTAGCTTTATTTAGATCTTTGTAATCTATGCACATGCGTACTTTTCCATCTTTCTTTGGTACGGGCACAATGTTGGCTATCCATTGAGGATACACTGATGTCACAAGAAAACCGGTATTAATCTGCTTTAAGACTTGTTCTTTGATTTTTACTGCCATATCAGGGTGAGTTCTTCTCAACTTCTGCTTGACGAGCGGGCACTCTGGCTTCAGGGGCAAATGATGCTCCACAATATCATTAACTAGACCTGTCATATCTTTGTAAGACCAAGCAAAGATGTCGACATACTCTTTTAATAGTTCAATCAACCTGCTCTTCACATTCGGAGCAACGATGCTCCAATCTTGACTTCCTTTGGCTCTTCTTCTGAACCTAAATTGATTGTTTCCAATGACTCTTTATACGGCTGAATGGCATTTTCCTCGTGCTCGAGCAACCATAAAACCTCTTCTGGAATCTCATCATATTCTTCTCCTTCCGTCCCAAACACATGATATTCAAAGTTGGGAGAGGGTGCAGGGTCATTGTATTCAACAGGTTTATTAATTAATTTGCACATGTGATTTGTGATTGCTTTTAGAAACTGACACATATATCAAGTGATTATATGAAAAAAATATAAATAAATTACTTATTATAATTGATTTACTGGTTAAAAATATATGGTGATATTACCAAAAGCTATTTGAAGAGAATTTTACTATATTTTCTTCAGTTAATGATTATATTTTAATCTCCATTATAAAAATAATTATGAAAATTGTTCTCTTTATTAAAATTATAGACTTCAAATTATTTCAGATTGAAGAATCCAAAAACTATCAACTTAAATAAATTATAGACTTTAAATTTTATAATCCAAATTAAATTTTATTTTATAACTCAGAATAAACAAAAGACATATTTTTTTATTATAACCAAAAACTATTTGAAGAGAATTTTGCTTTATTTTCTTCAATTAATGATTATATTTTAATCTCCATTATAAAATAATTATGAAAAATGTTTTCTGTATTAAAATTATAGATTTCAAATTTAATTCTGATTGAAGAATTCAAAAAGTATCAACATAAAAAAAAGTTTAAAAGAAAAAGATTTCGAAAGTGTTCTTAAATATTTGAATTCTTAAATTTAGATAGTATATTTGAAAATTTTGAATTCTAAAATTTAGATATTATTTTTTATGAGAATTCAAGAATAAAATAAAACGATTAGAAAAGAAACAATTATATATCTAATATATAACAATGATCAAATACATGAATTAGTGGGGGAGGATTCTCTTCTGTGGACTTTTCACTGGACCAAATTCAGTTCACATCTTCACCATTTATTAGAATGACTTCCTCTCAAGTTAAATAAAATATAATTAAATCAATATCTCATATTTCACTGCAGAAAATGTACACGGTAGAGAATCTATTCACTCAATTGGTTAATAAACCAAAAAAACTCTTTTTATTATTTATAATAATGACCGATTGTATTAGTCTATCACAAATCACTTTAAAATGTCACATATATTTGGGTGTTTCTTTGAATTTTTTAGTAATATGTTTCATCCATTTACTTTTATTAGCACACCATTTTGTTTCAATCTCTCTGCCATTATAGAGTTTGTTAGTAATATATGTTTCATCTACATATTTTTATTAGGACTACTTCAAACTTTTGTGTTATAAATATTTATTTATAATAAAATTTGACGATTTAAAATTAAATTAAAAAATGTTGCTTTGGATTCCAACTTCTTCTCTTTTGACTCTTAAAAAGACAACTACAATTATTTAATGAAAGCCCTACAAGTGATTGATTGTGTCAGCTTAAGTTGTCACATTAACTTCTTAAAGCAGGCAAACTCCACACACTATTTTCAAGAGTTTCTTGTGAGACTATTTTGTCTTATTGCCTAGATTCATACTCATTGTTGTTTGTGTTGTAAATTTTAGATTCATACAACTCATGAAAATGACCAAAACATAAGTCATATTCATAAGAAATGCACTATAAACTTAAAAAATTATTTTTATAAACAAAGTACTAATGTCCTAGTTATTTGTACTACTTGTCTTTTTTACTTGCCTATAAATAAGTCAGCTCACTTCCATTCGAATGCATATTTCACAGCAAAATAACATAACAAAAATAAATGGCACGTAGAGTTATTTTGTCTCTCATTCCTTTTCTCCTGCTATTGTTGATTGTGAGTTACTAACTTTCCATGCATGCTTCTATCTTTTATACTTTTATTTTTCATCATTTATTTATCATAATAATAATAATAATTTATTTCATCTTTATTTGTAATTGTGCATGCACGTTAAAAGATTAAAAATATTCAACATCTTTGTAATATATCATTTTCATCTTTATTTGAAATTGTAGAAGCATGTAGAATTTAATGCATGCTTCAATTATTTTGTTCATTAGTTGTTTTTCATGCATTCAACATACTAAGAATCAAGTTGTTCTATAGGATTTAAAAAATTACATTGTTTTGTTGTAATTAAATTAAAAATATTCTACGTGCTATTTTTATGCTTCAAATTATGTATCTATCTGCTATATATACATAGCGAATATATCTTCCATTATACAACAAAATGTGTCTCATAACACACTAGTGTTTTTCTAATCATATATACCATTAAAAACATGTAATTAATTTGTCACTCATTAATATCCATTTATTCAATTGTATTGTAGAATGGCCATGGAAGCTTTGCAAGATATATGAACCAGGTTGACCAACCTTACCTTGATGGTTGGCTCAAAAACACTCCACTAAAGAACCAAAAACTCTCCCCTAACTCCAATCAAGTTTACCTTGACGGATGGTTGAAAGATATCAAAGGCGAGAAAACAAAAGTCAACCCTAACTCTAACCAAGTTTACCTTGATGGATGGTTGAAAGATACCAGAGTCGAGAAAGCCAAAGCCAACCATGACTCCAACCAAGTTTACCTAGATGGATGGTTGAAAGATACCAGGGCCGAGAATGCCAAAGCCAACCCTGACTCCAACCAAGTTTTCCTTGATGGATGGTTGAAGGATATCAGAACTGAGAAATCCAAAGTCAGCCCTGACTCTAACCAGGTTTACCTTGATGGATGGTTGAAAGATACTCGAGGTGAGAAAGCTAAGTCCACCTCTACCTCCAACCAAGTCTATCTTGATGGATGGTTGAAAGACACTCATACCGAGAAAGCAAAATCTAACCTTGACTCCAACCAAGTTTACCTTGATGGATGGTTGAAAGATATCCGAGCTGAAAAAGATAAATCTACCTCTGAATCTAACCAAGTTTACCTTGACGGTTGGCTGAAAGATATCCGAGCTGAGAATGAAAAATCTACTCCTGACTCCAACCAAGTTTACCTTGATGGATGGTTGAAAGATACCCGAACCAAAAATGTAAAAGTCAAGCCTAACTCCAACCAAGTTTATCTTGATGGATGGTTGAAAGATACCCGAACTGAAAATGCAAAATCCAACCATAACTCCAACCAAGTTTACCTTGATGGATGGTTGAAAGATACCCGAACCAAAAACGCAAAATCAAACCTTGACTCCAACCAAATTTACCTTGATGGATGGTTAAAACAAAACTAGTTCATATATATTAATCGGTGTCTGTGTACTGTAATGTCTTAATTTATGTGTACTAAGTTAGGTCATGTTTGTGTTCTAATTATGTTCCAAATTAGTGGAAAATGCTTGGTTATTATTGTGTACTAATTAAGCTCATATTTGAGTATTAAATAAGGATTTTCTTGTGGAAAAACTTGATTATTGTTGTTGTTTACTGATAAAGCTCTTGTTTTTATTTGTGCATTAATTAAGGTATTGGTTCTGTGTAATAAATAGTTGAGTTAAAAGAAAACTCAACTTGTTATGTGAAAATGACATGAAAATTATAGTTTTGCTTACACAAAAAGATTATTGAAAAACTAAGCGTATGTCATATTATATTTATACTTACTCAGAGTTAAAGTGGTGTCATGTAATTATTTTATATAGTCACTAATATTAATACTCCATCTAGTCACACATTATATCTTTTTCTGTCACTATGCAAGAGTATATAATGAGAATCACCCTCAAACAATTGAAATATACCAAATCAAACATATAAAGATAACATACAGTGTAGGTGTAAAATATTCCAATCAGAATATATGAGAAATGAATAAACAATTATAAATAGAGAAACATATATCTTTTTAGTAGTTTAAATGAAACATGATATTATGAAAATCATCCATATAGACCATCGACAATGAAAAAACCTAACACATGAACAAAAACATATAAATGCTACTGACCAGCATCTTCAGAAAACGTGGCATCAAAAGGGGTTACGGAATGTTAAAGAGAAAAACTAGAAGAACCAACTCCAGAGATATGCTGCAACTCAATAACAAGCCATCTTTACTAATCTACTTCAATATTTTTCAGGCTTCCCACTAGAAACACTGATCCAATCCATGCTTTATTGACTCCACATATTCCTAGGATTTATCCTATTGTTACTCTTAAAAATACCCACTTTTTCTTAAAAATTTCAGAAGTAATATTTGTTATTTCTCTGAAATTATGATTGACATACATTTTGGTAAAACCAACTTGGCAGCAACATGTTGAACAAGATGTTCCAACATAAAGTTTTCAACATGTCTAATAGGATGTCCCAACCAGGAGGATAGGACATTGTGTCAGCAAGAGTTGACAGTTATGTTTCAGCTTATATGTTAGTTACTGAATATTCACGGAATATTTAGTTATCTTATGGGACATTCAAGATTGACTAATCAGAGATTCTATGTTGGTTTTTGAAGATATAAAATATTTCTAAATATGGAGACATTTTAGGAAACAAATTATTGAAGATCTATTTTCTTGGAGAAGATTTTGCAGACTTTGTGCAGCCTCACTGCGGAGATTTTGAAGCCCAACCCAGTCCAGAGTAATGTTATATATAGAGTTGTGTATACATAATTTTAGGTTTAACTTACGTGTGATTTTGTTAGAGTTTTAGATTCATTATTTGTGAGCATCTCTAATATCATATTGATAGAAGAGTATGGCTGTTTTGGGTTGTAAGTTATGTCAAGAATCCATGAGCTTTTAAGCATTGGATGTTTGTGTGTCATAGGATCATAAAGCACTCTCGTTATATTTAGAATCAATGTTCAGTTACTAATATCTGATTCAAAACCTCAAACTCTCGTTGTATTGATTTTAACCTTTGTTGTTTTTTACTCTCGTAACAAAACAATTTTATTAATTAAATTAGAAACAAATACCAGGAAAGAATTTTATAAATATTAATACCAAAAGGTTTTCTATTCCCTTCGGTTAGATTATGTTACATACTGGTATCTCATGGAACTAGTCGGACATAGTTTATAACATAGACATGCTATTACAATAATTTATCATAAAATAGAACATGATTTCTAACCTAGGAATAAATCTCTAGTACAAAGAGTTTACTGCAACTTAAAAATTATTCTTCATGATCCTCCACAATTTTCGGCAGGATTCGTTTCCGAAAGTAAACAATTGAAGAGAAACTAAAACTATAAATCTAAACTAAAGTTGCAATAGCTCCATGATATGGAATGCTATTACTTTAAAGTGGTGATTTTTCCTGCTTAGAAACTATAAAGGAAAATGCTCTGAACAATGGAAAATTCTTTGACCCTGTAACTATCAATTCTTCTTCTTTTTATATCTTGATGTATTTAAGTAACTCGCTCCCGAAATTTCAAGAACAACTTCCTTCGTGGAGATAATCTTGCCACCCTGGTCTTGCAGAGAGGAAATAAGAAGAATGAGGGAATCATGGCTATGACGTGGGAGGAAAATGGTCCTGATATAAAACAACCTGTGGCGGTGGCAATTGGAAGTGTGGCGAGGGCCACAGACTAATCATGTGTGGCGAGGGCCATAGACTTTTGTGTGCAGATTTCCATCTTTTCTTCTGTTCCTTCATGTTTTCTTACTCATTCTATGCCAAATCCTCTTCTTTTCTCATGCAAGCCTCAAGGAGGAAAAACACCTGAAATACATAAACACTACCAGTATAAAATGACATAAATGGATAAAAACGGTAAAATAATCCTTGCTAGTCAAGTTGAAAATACGATGAAATTTCAGTTTATCCAACTCCCCTACACTTGAACCTTTTCTTGTCCTCAAGAAAATAATCATTATGAAATTCAATTAAAAAAGCGGGTTAGACACAAATACACGACATAAATTAAATTGTATGTGGTTGTGAGACATTTTGTTAGAATGATAGGTACTCGAATTCAACACTAAGGATACAGTAGTGACACAAAACCGCAAATACAATATAAAAATCCCTCTTTAATCCAAACCAATTTGAATCATTCTATTATAGATCAACCTATTTATTTCGTTTTATTTTACCCACTTTCATTTGAGCGCAATCACATTAAGCCCTTTATCCTTAAATGCACATAGTAGAGTAGTTGGTTAGTGACTCTGATCCTTTAGCAATGGGGGTCTGGTACATGAATTTGGTAAACCCTTTATTTAACCAATTGTAAGTTATGGGGGATCGAAACGTAGTCTTCCCTACCAAGTTCATCACCAGACACCTCTGAACCAACTAACAACGAATTTTTATGAAAAATTTTGTAGGTTCCACAACCATTGGGTTAAGTGACCGAGCGAGGGTCACCTAACTTAATAGGTGCATTCCCTATTTATAATAAGTATTGGCATATATACTTAGAAATTTTGGTATCGTCCACTTCTATTCATCAACTTCTTATGTTGTTTATGCTTAAGATGGTTCTGACTGCAAGTATAAACTACTCGGGGCTACTAAAAAATTCAAACATAAGGTCTCGATATAATAGGTATTCAAATTGATCGTAAATAGTTAGGGATTTAGGGTGTCAAAACGATATTTATTTTGGTGAGTCTTTCTCAAATCAATCCAACATAGCCTAAGTATAAAACAACCTATTTACTTTTTAAGGTTTCATTTTATAGGTCAAACCAGAAAATTTTGTTATGGTACAAGAAAATTGAGGGAATCAACAAATAGGAGAAAAATACGCATAGAGACTCGACATCGCAAGAATTCGACTCGACTAACACTAACAATAAATGAGCAAAAGGGGAAAAATATAACTACCTAGAAAATGATAAACAAAAACGATAAACAAAAGAAGTAAAGCTTTCTCCCCCACAATTAAATTAAACATTGTCACCAATTTTTGGAAATAAGGTGAAAAGGAAAGGTAGAACTTAGGGCATCTGCTATTGGTGACCTCTGCCACGCGCTCGTCAATGACCACCAATTCCAAGCTCATGAGGTGGCATACCTACATGATGAATATACTCCTGTAAGCTGTCTGCACGCACTATTAAAGTTGTTATCTGGTCGATCATGTCTGACATTCTTTGGTCATTCTTGTCGATTGGTGTCTTGATGATGTTCCAGCGACGCGTTCAGAAGGAACCTGTGTGGGTTGAGGGTGAGCTTAAGGGGCACCCTGCTCCATCTCATAGAACTCATCATTTGTTTGGTAGCCTTTTGCACCTTGTGCAAGCGCATTAGGCTAAGGGGCATATAAATCATAAAGCTAGTTAGCCATATTTTATGCATTAGTTCGATTGAGACAGGGAAGAAGACACTCTTAACCGCTTTTTTAATGACCATCAGATAATATTTACCATCCTCTTGAGCTTTAGTCAAGTGATAAAATCGATAGTTGTTGATGTTAAGGTACAAGGCTGGTATTGATGGCAAATCTGTGAGTTTGTCGCCTAGGCCCAAGGCAAGGGAAATGGATGTGAATATCGCCCCTATACAGAAAGTGTTGGTTCCTCTTGCACAAATTTAATGAATGTGA